TGTGCAGATCAAGATTTGTATTCAAGATATCAACGATGATGATTGATAGTGGTCGATTGAGGTGCTGCAGTCGTCATTTGATCAACATCAAAAGCGTGAATTGATCAATTTTTAGTTTTGAAAAAATATTCAATATCAATGTTGCTTGAGTCGATCGAGATATATAATAGTGCGTGAAGATTTGTTACTATAGATATAATGGGTATGTTGCAGAAAAAATCAAAATTCAAGAAACTTGAAAATATTCCTACAGGAAAAACTGGAATTTCCATTTGTCCTAGGAGAATTGTTGTTTTGAACTTCAATTTCTGCTGCAACAGACATTTCCAACAGCCTGACTTGTCTTTTAATTTAATGCTTAAAACAAATAAAAATAATAACATTGAATTAATACAAACGAAGTGCGAAAATGAAAAATAAAGAGAGGACAGCAACAATTAAAACAAAAATAAATATCTGTAAAAAAAAAGGAGAAATGTTTTTCGAAATGTAGAAATAAGACAGATCATCGCTCGGGCAATTGATTATTTTGGAAGACAACTAAACAGCTTTTTTTTTTATTATTTTTAATTAATTGTAAATAAAAAAAGATTAATAAATCAGTTTCACCAAAAAAATCACTTTAATAAAAAAAACTCCCTTATTTGTAAAAGGCTTGATTATGAACGTTTTGTGGTTTGATTTTAAGTATTTTTTGACAAAGCCTTTGGGTGAAATACAGTTGTTGAAAGAAGATATTTTGTACTTTTAGAGGATAAAGCATATCATAACAATAAGGAAAAGTTATGTTTTTGATTCGTCCGATTATTTTGATTATGTTGAAGTTTTCAATAAATAGATTTTTTCGATATAAAAGTGACAAAAAATTTTAAAAATTAGGGTGTAGGTGTGAGTGTTGGGGAAAATGGCTCCCACACTCACACTCTCATCAGGTGTATAGAGGATAGAAATTTTTTTTCATTTTCCAGAAAACTGTCATTTTATTCCGAATGAAGTTCCAGTTTTTTCTAAGATAAAATTTTGCATCAATGAAGGACACTGAAAAGTATCCGAGATCGTTTTGTTGACTATTGAGAGTATAAACCATTTTTCACATAACAAAAATTCAGCCTGGAATCTCTTGATTTCAAAAAATTATAGCATATATACTGCCAAAGATGAAAAATTATAAACTGCTAAAGTAAGATCTTCTCTATCCATGTTAACTCAGTAAATAGTTAATATACAATCTTTTATACATCTAGATTTACTCAGTTTTCATGGTTTATGTTTTGATATATGAGATAAAAAAATTTTTTAACTTATTAAAATGTAAACTTAGTTGTCATTTATGAAAAGATGATGCATTTTTTCTGGATAGTGGGCTGTCAGCGCTAAAAAGTCAATAGAGACCAACTTTTCTATAGAACATCTAAATGAGCTAAGATGTTGGGTTTGGTCGTTATAAATCATGTTCTTTCGAATAATTCTTTTTTATCGAGTGCTTCGTATACTTGATAGGCTCATTCGGTGCTTTCTTCAAGTCATATTTTTAAATTTTAATTTCTTCAAAGAAAATTAAAGATTTCGTAAAACAGACATTTCAAACATAAAATATGTGAGTAAAAGTCAATAGTTTATTCATCCGCGCTGCTCATGTCACGAGCTAATAACTCTATTTTACTATTGAACGTAACGTCTTTGGTTACCATTGGCTGATGATATGCGAATTTCCGCTGTATGCTCGTCAACCATGGAGAATGTTGCAGGATTTCCTGCTGCCAGAGTTGGCGTTATATCTGCATTCGTAGCGAGTGTCGTTGAATCCTTTGCCATTTCAACGGTGATATGCTTATAAAGCCCAAGCTTTAACTCTGTATCGAGATTGAGAGAAAAGGTCAACATGAAGAGTTTTTAAGGGTGTCGGTATAGATATCTTGTTGAAAAAGAGAGCAACACACATACCCACATTCATCACCTCTACATCCAAGAGTATATGATAGACTTTATAAAATTAAAATACCATTATATAAACCCTTAAAAAGAGTTTATGAAGTATGTTATATACTCAAAAAGGATTAATGAAACATAGTATACATCCAGAAAAGGTTTATGAAAGGATTTTAACAAAAATCTATATACCTGAAATCAGCTAAGGAAGATATTATGAACTGTTTATATAGTCAACTGGCTACATAAACATCTCAGAATATCTTTCTAAACCCATTTCAAGTATACAAAATTTCTTATAAATCCTTTCATAAACTCTTTATGATTATGTGAACATCTCATGAATCCTTACGAAAGCTATGCGATGACCTTAAGTCAATTCAATATGAAATTACTGGTCAATATCTATAACTAAACTTCAGAAAAAAAATGACTACCTCTATTAAGATAGAGTGAAACTAAAGGAACACTAATTCCAGGTGTATTAGATGAAAGAATGATTATTTATTTGTCTGAAGATAAAATAAATTTACACCAGAATTAACTTTATCTCTATAGCATAAAAAATAACTATTTCTATTTCGACGAAATAAAACTAAACGAATACGAACTCCAACTGATTTAGTTGAAAAAAAAGATTATTTTTGCTACCTTAACTACACGGGAAAAATATTTTCTTCTATTGAGCTGACAAACTATAAATCAATACCATCGATTTCATAAAGTTATGAAAAAAGAAACACCTTTTCTATGATAGAATGAATGATCACATACGCTAACTATCATTAGTTCATCTATATGAAAAAAGAATGCGAGCATTTGCGATAGGTGTCATTAAATATGTTTTTCATCAATCAGATTGACCCAATAAATTATATTTCAAAACTAGCGGACATTACGCCTGTAAAAACATGTAGCAAAAATTTGATGTACATTAAAAGAGAATTTAAAAGGTGGGAATACAGTAACCTGGGAGGAACAATTCAAAAACTACACTAAAAAGGAATGGAACAAATTTATTGTTTCTTTATGTCAACGAATGATAGATAACATAGTAGTAGCTCGGTTAAAATTAGTAATCGATCAAGGTGATAATCAAATGAAGGAACATTTTAACAGTTGTATTGTTTTTAAAATAATGACCAAAATAATGAGGAAAATTAAGCAAATAAAGCATGATAATGTTATTACAGGTTTTCAGTCATAGTAAAAGCCATAAACGTCAAACTGTATAGTTAAGTAGTACTAAGTATCTGTTATAATCCACTAAGTCTCAAAGACTTTACTATTGTCGAATGTGAGAAGGACGATTTATAAAATTCGTTTCATAATTTCTGAGACACTCCTCATCATGTGTGAGCTTTTAATTGTATAACAAGTTGATAGAAATAAACTTTGGAAATATAGTGAATTATTATCGTTGTAGTTAACAAAGCCTACTGCTGAGCGGTCTTTTAGTTTTATGAATCGGATAAAACATGTTTATAGTGTACACAATGACTCAACAACGTTTAAACCACGTTATTATTCCTCATATTTATAACGAAAAATTAGACTTACTTGATCTGAACAACATCTGGTATGATTTCATTTCAAAAACTCAAATCAGAAAAAAATGTTTTTTGGTTATAAATGGCTTTATTTCTTCTAAGTCATTTTTTCAAAAATTTTTAAGAAACATTGGTGTGTTACTCTGTTTTTTCTTTCTTTCATTTGAAACAATAAAGTATTCGATGACTATCACACTTCTATAGAATTTAACTCTTGCACAAAAACCTACAGCCCTTACTGTTTTAAATAATTCACTTGCAGGGCTAGCTTGACTGAAGATTTGAGCATATCGTAGACTCAGACTGCTTCGCTGCCTATGACTTGCTCATCTCGTCCACTTCTGAATCCCTTAGGAGAATAATGCAGAGCTTTATTTTAACAGGAAGTAAAATCTATGTCAAACAAAGTTTCTCAAGATGTATTGTCATCATAAAAACTTAGTTGAACAAATTTCTGCTGAGAAGTTTTAGAACTTTGAACACTAGAATGTGAGTGTGATCTGTTTCTCAATTCCTCCCATTTCTTACATGCAGAGTTCATTACCTGACCTTTTCTCGGAGAGAAACTTTTTTTTTATTATTTTATGATTATTTTAATTCTGTTGTGGTATTTATGATTTCAAAGTCTTACATGTTCTTGTCTCTAGGAACTGTTATCGCTCAGTATTGACATAAATCCTTAGAAAAAAAAAATCTTTATTGCTATTTGCTTTGTGTAAATTTCAAGAGGAATGTTTTTTGAAATAGTGACTAACATCGAAGAAGTACCGTGAGATTTATGATTCCAAAGTTTATTGTTAGTGACGCACTTTTAGAATGATATCAAAAAGGTTTCACCATGTTATGCAAGAGTAACTACGCTAGTAATGAGAAAATTATTTTCAGATGTAGTGTTGAACGCTGAAACCAAAAGTCAAAACCTGATCTCGTCACCTTTTTCAAGAAAAAGTCATGCGAACAGTACTATCCTGGCAAAATAGCTGATTCGTCCTTATTTTCCTGCGAAAATGATCTCTATGTCAGACCCTCAAGCTCCCAGTGAACATATCATCAGTCCGTTATTTTGGTCTCAAATGAAAGAGATACAATGATGGTAGGTTCTATGTGAATTCACTCACTTGTAATAAATATTTTTGTAAGAGATTATTTTATTTACTTCAAAATTGTTCCAAAGAAGATTAAAAAAAATAATAAATCTTTCGAAAGAAAATAATTTATTGATTTGAAATTTTTTCTAAAGATTACAAAAGTAATAAAAATAACCGAGGAAGTGATAACAAAATTATATGATATTGTATAAGAAAATGAATTGTATATAAACAGTATAGTTTCGCTTAGCTAAATTGCAGAAGCTTCTTACATCGTCAAGTGAGAAAATCAAGAAGAACAACATACATCACACAACCTTTATACACAAAATTAGAAAGTATCTATCTTAACAATTACTTCAAATCAGTTGATGTTGGTATTTTTGTGTTACGTAGTGCCTTTTATCGTTCTAGATAAGAAATTAATAGAAACATGCAATTTATCGGTGTCATTCTCCTTGTCGTTATTGGTTCACAAATAGTTGATTCATCACTGTTTGGTTCACAAATCATTAAAGGTCTAGCCGCTGATACACCATCAACAAGAGGCATATTTGAACAAACATGTTCAAAATTGTACGATCTTATGGCATTTCCACGTAAAGTTGTTGATGTTCAAGTACTTATTCCTAGTCCACTGCGTATTCGTGCAAAAGTTGAAATAACACATCCATCAACTGGTTATAAAGATCATTTCTTTGTAGAAGGTTCTGTATGTCAAAATGGGTTTGATCAATATGCAGCAGATGCCGTCTGTCGTTCATTAAACCAAGGTTTTGCTGATTTCTTAGTCAATCGTCCACCTCCATCAAATCCAAATGCACCAAACAATAAATGTTTCTTTCAATATGGGCAAGATCAATTAGAAATTGCATGTACATATCTACAAAGTTTTTCTGATTGTCCAGCAAATGCAATTAATTTATCAAGCTGTGCGCAATCAAAATTATTTGAACATCAATGTGCTGGTAACATGCATGTTGCAGTTATATGTTCATAAACAAAATGAATTCTCGACACAAAACAAAAAGACTCTAGAAGATTAGTTTTTTTTCCAACCTACTGCTTGTTTTTTTTTGCAAGAGTTTTTCTAGTTAGAGGCAATACCATTTTCAGAAAATAAATGAGAATCATTTGTAAAACAAATGATTAAACATTTCATATTAGTGTAGATGTAGTAGCAAGAGTGGAATGACTCGTCTCACTCAAGCGGAAAGCTGGAAAGATGATCCTGTTCAAGTTGAAGCTCTAAATCTTTTTAAACGGATTTTTAAAGAAAGCACCCAAAAATAATTCGTAATTATTGCATCTTTGATGAAACTCAAAGAACAGAAAACATTTCAAAAAATGACGTCGTAACTCTTTCACATTTATATTTCATTGGGTTTCAGAGAATCAAGTATGATTTAACGTGCAGTGTAGAAGAAGATTTGTACTCTTCTTGAGAAATTTAGAAAAATCTTATCACAAGGTACTTTTCACGTTCATGCCATCCATATCATAATCTGTTTTCTTTTTGACTAGTTTTTCCACTGACTCATTTCTTAGAGATAAACACAGAGATTATAACTGTTCTTTTTATTTTTTCTCTTAAAAGGAATATCATATAGAGGCTTTTTCGAAAGACATTATATAATCGACACGAAGAAAAACGATATTGAGTGTACAAATATTGAGAAGATGTGATTCAAAGAGAAAATCTGACTCACAGTGAGTATCGAGCTGGGTATGGGTCTTTTCTACAGACGCTAGATCGACACTCACATCCAAAATGCAGTAACCAATATAATAAGAACATTTCTTCCAACATGGACAAAAATAGACAGGAAAAGCCTAAGAGAACATCCACATCAAGCCACCCCACCCCAAAGTAAAATCTTTTTTTCCAACATCAAGTCATATCAACTATAAAGAAACTGCTATTTTCTTTTCCTGACAACGACAGTAGTATAAAAGACGAGACACTTATATATCTTCTCAACTCATCAAGTATTGTCTAGCAAAATCCAAAACGTAAGTAATGAATAGTAAGTTGCAAATTCGATTTGCATTCAGCTTCGAATCTGAATAGAATAATGTGAGGAATGACAACAAGAAATGACTTTATATTGACTTCTTTTTCTGAATGTAATCAATAAATAACTAGGATGTTGACGATGTATTTGGTTATATACACAAAAACTTGAGTATAGATCCGACTAAGTACGGGTTCAAAAAACATGAATCTGCAGTTCCCTGGTAGTGAAACAGATGTCTTTTCTTTTTTTTAGGTCTAAGAACATTGCTTTTCTACTGAAATATCTCCTGCATGATGGATCTATAATCTTCTTCTCTCATTGCACAATTTAATTGTTTTGACTATTTTATTTTCGTGTAAGTTCTATTTGTTAAGATTCGTGTTGCTTTCTCGAACCACTATAGAATAAATAACGCTCGTGCCCGTGACTTGCTTGTCCCTCGACTGTATATTCGGCTCTGTCGGTGTTACACGCCTAATCAAATTGATATCCATCCATTGATACTCAACAGAAATCTATAGAGCTATACTACGGCAGTAACATTCGGACGCATCGGAAACCAGATATTATATTGAATTTTTTCAGAGATCACGTAGCAAAACAAGTTCGCAACAGTTATGTGAAAACGCAGCATATTCTTTGAAAATTCTACTAGAAATTCGTATGTTTTCTAGAACATTCGTCGAGGGTGTGGGTGTGAGTGTTTTCGTCTTCTAACCCACACCCACACCTTCATTTATCTTCATTGCTCATTGTTTTTATGACTACAAGCTGTTCATTCAGCTGTTGAGAAGCAAATAGCTATCAGATTTAATTCTAATTGTCCAATAACTTTATTATGCCGATTAGTAATTATTGTTCGTATGTCTTTATCGATCATTTCTTCTGCAAATTTTTACATGAATCATTTAATTGGCAACCTATTGATTTGTATATTTTGGGCGATACACTACTAAATAGCCAATGTTTAAGCATGATCACTGGCTTTTCAATATGCTCTTGTTTATTAAACTACATTTCTTTGGAATACTATGTAACCTTACTTTTCTCATTCTACTAAACGTAAGTTAAGTTACTATATAACTAAACAAAATCTTACAGATCAATAGCTCTTTCTAGACTTACATATGAAAAAAAACTGTCTATTTCACTATTTCATTGTTGCCTAGTAAAAGACAGTTTAGTGTCACATGTACATGTATATAGTACAAATTCTATGAATTTTCTTACGGATAACTCTTAATTAGAGAAGAAAAAACTCGGTGACTTGTTTTTTCTCTAAAAACGTTTCTTATTTGAAGTCAATAAATTACTTTCGAATCGGTGGTTGGCGCTCTTTCTACGTACAACTTCCGACTTGCCGCTCATCTGTTCTATGGTTGCAGCTTTTTAATCAATTTTTCAAATCAGAGTACTATGAATTTTCTTATGTAAAACTCCTATTGAAGTTACATTTGATCCTTCACACATTTCAGACGGCTTGATTTTGTTCGCAAGCGGTACCCACAGATTCATTGTTGTGTGCATTCGCGTTTCGACGAGAATGCATCCTATTCCGCGATGTTGAACATTGCGGAATCAGTTCCACCCCCGGAACCAATTCCGTCCAATTTCGAGAGCTCGATTTTGATTCCATACAACAGGCCCAATCAATATCGATCGAGTTCCGTCAATTTCCGGAATTCCGGGAATTGTGTTGAAACGGAATTTCTTCTGATTCCGGAATTCCGGGAATTTCTTCCAATTCCGAAGTTACTAGGAATTTCCAGGAATTCCGTCTCGACCCAATTCGCAGAATTCCACGCCGGAATTACTTCTCGCCCTCACCCTCACTCATGGTGGTGTGGTGGAAGATGAATGCTTAGGATAAGTAAGTAATTTCGGTACGCAATTCCTGGAATTGAGTCGAGACGGAATTAGAAGGAATTCCAGATAATTTCTTCTGGTTCCGAAATTCCTAGAACCTCTTCCAGTTCCGAAATTCCGAGTACTATTCCAATTCCGGAATTGGAAGGAATTTCTGGGGATTGCTAGTAATTCCGCCTGAACTCAGTTTCGGGTATTTCGGAAATTGGTGGAACTCGATCGATGCGGAATAGGTCTCTTATGCTGAATGATGATCGAGTTCCGGGAATTAGATGGAATTGATTCCGCAATGTTCAACATTGCGGAATAGGATGACTGCTCGTTTCGACAAGATAATAAGAATGTTGCACTATAGACAAATGCTCTCAAGACACTTGCTCCAGTGACAATGAGGAAGATGATGTTGAGAGCGAAGCAGACTGTCAGAGTGAAGAAGACGTTTATATCTAATTTTAGTTTGCTTCTAATTGGTTTTTGATTATTAGGAGTTCTAACAAAACTTCGTTGAATCGAAAATATCTCGGAAGCAAGTATTGTTGGAACACAAGTGTTGCGAGAGTATTTGTCTAGGATGCAACATTTACGTATGATTTTTTTGTCGACGAACTCTATAGCTACTCACTTTTGAGTTTCCTGTGCTGTGACGTATTGCACAGTACGAACGAGATAAAGGAAATGAAACTCTGAATCTTTCTTGTTCTGTATCCTTTTCTTTGTCAACTCTTGGACTCTTGTCTCTCTTGCGTATGCAAATAGCGATTTTTCTTAAAAAAAAAGGTGAAGAAAAAGATAGGTGATAAAAAACAAAGCGGTGATCAATTGACTATTCTCTTCAGATTCTCTATTGGATTCTAATTTTATTGCAATCTACTACAAAATCTCTTCACATCATCGATGGCTTTTGTGTCATATAAGCTCTGTGATGACCTTGAGATATGTATATTTGCATTGCTTTTCAGATTAATTTTGTTTTGATTCTTATGCCGTTCGAAGAATCCGATGCACAGATCACCAATAGCTTACTGACGAAAGGACATCGCCAAGTATGAGTCTCCATTTTTAATCGGATTTATATTAATTTTCAGAGCTCAATGAGCTGTTCATGATAGTATAAAGCTCTCTTCCTTATAGACTTTCTCTCCAAAGCTAGATCAATCTCGACATTAGAAAAAATAATGTAAAATGTTATTTTGAAAACTTTAATTTTTATGTTAGTTTAGTTTTCAGCATTCAATAATTGAGCTCTGGATGTGTCTTAATTTACCGTATATATCCAAACACTTAACAGAAATAGAAGTCCTAACTATGTCTAATACTTTGCATATTTCAATATCAATAATATTGTGAATGTATGGAATTCAATTCTTTCTTTTAAAAGTAATCAAGATTCTCTATGAATACTATTTTGAGGACGCAGTAATTAAAGTCTTGTCAGATATCTCATTTTTAATCTTCTGCCTTCTATTTATTTGTTTTATCGCATGTTTATGTGAAACAGTACAATAGATAAGGTAGCTCATTGACATATGGTTATGTCTTTAATAAATAAATATATGTCAGCGTCCAAACTGAGATTACGTCCAATCTCAGATTGGTCTAGGCGAATGTCGGATCCGAGGTTGGACGCGTGCAATCTCGGATTGACGTAATTCTATTCACTAAAATACCAATTACTCTTTAGATAGATGTTGGATTCGAACTATTTTTTGAAATTATGTTCGCCCAATGCCGTTTAAAATATTACAAGCATTTAGGAAGAAACTAAATTTAGACTCAACAATTTAATAAAAATTTTTCATGAAAGTTGTTGTTCTCTAGAAATTTATTCACCACTCCTAAAATTTTCTCCAAATCTGTCAAATGACAATTGTGCCAAACGAACTGGCATCGTGTGAACATAAATCCAAAAAAACAATTCGAACCCAACGTCCATCGAAAGAGTAGTTGATATTTTAATGAATAGAATTACATCAATCTGAGATTGGACGCGTCCAATCTCGGATCCGACATTCGCCTAGGTCAATCTGAGATTGGACGTAATCTCAGTTTGGACGCTGACATATACAATTGAAATAAGTTGAGTATTGAAAAAATAGTTGAATTTCGTATATTCACAACATCAATCATATTGAACTATTTAAAGCATAGACGCATTTAGGACTTCAATTTATGTGTATTGCGTAGATGTGTGCAGTCAATTATGGTGCATCGAATATCAAAGTTTTGAATGCTGAAAACTAAGTTAGCATAGAAATTAATGTTTTTAAATTAAAAACATACAGTAATTTTTCTGAAGTTGAGATTGACCTAAGTTTTCGAAGAGAAGAACAGGTTATGCAATTCTGATCAGCTCATGGAGCTCTACAAACTAATATAAAGCCAATTGGAAACAGAAACTCACACTGAAAAATCTTTCATTCTAAGTCTCAGAAAGATATATTCTATTCACTAAGGTGTCTCTTTATTCTTTAATGATCTTCATACTTAATAAGTTTTTCAACTGAAATAATAAGATACCGGTTTTTTTTGTTTACGAATTTCATTCCTATTTTAGAAGTAAGCTATTTGATTTAGAGCTTTTATTATTTGTGCTCAAACATATACACGCTAAATTTATTGTTGAAGCTGTTCGTGTTCTTTCCAGTTTTCGTGCTACAATTCATAAGGTTATGTATAATTAAGCTTTATCGACTGAAGAATTCATTTTTTTCAGTTTTAGATGTGTACTGACATTCATTCATCAGTACGTTTGAAGAAATCGAGAAACCATTTGCAATTGAACAGATAGGTATGCTTATTTCAAATTGTATAAGCTACGTAGGGCACTTCAAAAGTAGTAGCGATCGTACATGAGTATCGTTTAGATAGCTTGAGACAACTTTCGCATTGTATATGTACTGATAGTACAAATAATGTTTCTGCACTATTCCATCTACTTTAACAAGTATCATAGTAATAAAATTTATGTTAGACTTGTTTGTTATGATTTGTGATGATACAACTAATGGTCATTTTAACGAGAGAAAAAGACGAATGATGACTTTTTGCATAAATTTTGTGAGAAACAAGACAAACAACTGCAGTTTTCACTATTAAAAAGATGGGATGAAAGCACATTGATTTTATATATTACAATTGTTTTCGAGCTGGTTTTTTAAAGATTTCCAATTGAATTTTTCGAAAATAAACCTGCCTCATCTAGCGTTTACAGTAAATTTTCAATTATCAACAATGCATTGCACCGTCTATCGAAGATCTACAAAATCGCGTAAGGCTCAGATATTTAGATTTAATCATTCAGGAATTATAAATGTTCTACTCGAAACTCTAAGTCGGTTTTTTCTAACAATTTCAGTTTAAAAAATCTCTTTTTTCGTTGAATAAAAAAAAAAACATTTTTTCGATACCTTGTTTTTAAAAAATGAATTAAAAAAACATTTCAACTTTTCAAAGGTGTGAGTGTGAACTAAAAAATGACCCACAGCCAAATCCTACATTTCGTACATCAAAAAGACGTATGTAGTTGATTTATAAATAGATCAATACAAAGACAGCTGCTCATCATTATCAATAGACGATGAAAATGAAAAGAAATTACCAGCTTTTCAAATCGAAAACATAAAAAACAGAACAATGTTTATAATAATCATCAATCATAATAAATCATGTTGATGTCTCAAGAAAACTAGAAGTCAATAGTTTACATTTATCAGCACACGAAATAATTATAATTTAATTTGTATAAAAATTTGATTCGATTTATGAAGAAGGTAAGACAATATCTTGGGCATTATGCCTTTAGCAAGATACATATCTATAAAGAAAAAAATAGAGTATCAGGTCAAGTGTTATTGCCCTATTCTTTTTGTTTCGAGTGGTTGTAATAAAAATACTTAATTCCTTGGTAGTGTTGACTGACAACAATCAACGACCATTCGTTGGTTGTCGTTAGTTGCTTTACTTTAAAGCTTTGTGTGCTGATAAAAGGCAATTCAATGTGTTTTAAGTAATCGTAAACAACAATGCGAATTAGACGAAATTCATGAAAAAATTTAGAGTAGTTCTATCGTTTCTTAACACCATTCAAGCTCATATTAAAAATTATGCAATCAAAATATATTTCATCATCATTCATGTTATTTGTATGTACATTCGGAGTGTGGATAGAGTGTGTAACAAAGAGATTGACCCTCTGAGTGTCGAATTCAGGTGAATAAATATGCCCATGTACTAGTCCATGGCTGACTTAGTATCGTAATGTACTTTTTTTTGAAAAATTTTTGAGAAGAAAGTGCCCTTATCAATTCTTTTTTTTAATTACTGAATAGAGATATGACAATAGTTTCATTTCAGTGTGATTTGTACACCATATTGAAATGAAACTGTCATGTCATAGCTCTACTTGGTAATAAATTTGATGCAAACTAGGGTGTGGGTGTGGGATGTGATTGTGGGTGTTGCTCTCTTCTTATATCCACACTTACACACATCCTTCTCTATAAAAGCACATGCACAGGTGAAACACATACTCTTGTTGTGCTTTCTGCACGCTATTCATTGGTAAGAAAAATTATCCTTTTCGAACAAAATTAATCGCGTTGCTTCTGTACAAACTAAAGTAGGTTTTTTAGAGGCAAGGATGTCAGGGTTTTTGTTCCTGGGCACTATGCTCCTATGGGATCGCTATTTACTTTAAAATTCGCTTCTACGTCTTATCGAGCATCTGGAGATGTTTAAATATACTGATTCTTCCATTATGTAACAAGTCACCACTAGGATGTGAGTGTGGGCGCAGATGAACTGAAGAACCAGATAAAAACCCACACTCACAAACATACCCTACCACCTTTTACTGCTTGTTACGACTCCATCAAGATGTGTCCCGATTGCTTGCGCGTGCGGATAGGATAAAAATTATTCGTTGTGTTTATTTGAAAGAAATTGAAAAAATGAACAGCGCAAATGAGTTCATAGTATAGAAAAACGTTGGACACGATTGTTTTCATCGGTAACATAGAGATTGCCATGACGATCGAATGATAAACCAATGGGATTTTTGAATTGATTCGGGTGCACTCCTCTACCGTTTCCACCAGCGATGACAGTTCCCTGTGTGACTCCTTTTGGCCAACGTATAATGCGATCATTCCCTTGATCAGCCACATAGACAGTACCCCATTGATCAACAAAGACTCCTAGAGGAACATACAATTGTGTAAGACTATTTCCTTGTCCTTGACCACCGGCTACAACGATGCCTTGTTTTGCACCTTCTTCCCATTTGATGACACGATGATTCCATAAATCAGACACGTACAACGAATGATCTCGATCGACAAATATGAACTGAGGGCTGGAGAGTTGATCGAGACGATTTCCTTTTCCATTACCACCTGCAACTATTGTTCCTTCAGTGTCACCAATTCGATATCGTCTTACTGCGTAGTTTTTCCTATCAACGCCATAGAACGATTCATTCTCGTCTATTGCCAAACCAAGGCAATCGATGTTTGAAATGATTGTTTCTCCACTAGTACCATTACGACGAGGCCATCGAACTAGTCGTTCATTTCCACTATCGGAGATGATGAGACTATCGCTCTCTTTGTCAACAATTACATCGACGGGACGATTTAGCTGATGAGCTCCGTTTCCCTGTCCATTTCCACCAGCAACCACTTTACCGCTAGTTGCACCCAATTTCCATTCCATAATACGATGATTTGAGAGATCAGCGACAAAAATAGTTTGGTCATCATCGACATACAAACCTAGTGGGTAATTGAGTTGATTGAGTCCACTGCCTAATCCATTTCCTCCAGCTACAGTGGTACCATTCTGTTGCCATCGAGCATTTGGATGAATGTCAATTGAATTTGCACGTAATGATGGTGCTACAGTGAAACAAGAATTATCGAGTAAAGCCAACTATATATTTCATTGAAATGAGCTATTCGCTATCGTTGAACAGTATTCAAATAAGCTGAACACTAATTTTTCTCGATAGTTAACAATCATCTAAAAAACTTTCATGTTTCATTTGATGAGAATTCAATTGTGAAATTCAGCAATGTTTAATGTTTTAGAAAAACGAATTTTGTGTTCTCAACGTTGTAATTAGTTTCAAGTATTATATTGAGTTCAAAGTTATTCATATAAGTACTCGTTTTAAGGCTCATAGTTATTCGCCAAGTAAAACCGCTAAGAGCTTGATTGATTTAGTTTTCCTTATTAATGAGTTTGTTAATCGAATTTAAAGAGTATGAAATAGATTAGATGAGTAAAACTTAGACTTAGTATCGAGCAACAGGTATAAACGAGATAAGATGAAAAATAGTCAAAAAAACCTGATATGAAAAAATGTGTATCTTATTTTCAGTGTATAAAATCTATGTAAATATTTTGAAAATAATGATATTATAATGTAATTGATCAATATATTGTATTTTTTCGTTCTTGTTTTTTACTGTTATACAATCCAGAATGCACTATGCATCAGGATGTCGATGTGGCCAAAGAGAAGATGAATGTGAATTCAAACCCAAGTTCTCACCCTCAACTTATTGTCTATCGAAATCAAAATTCTATCCATGTTGTTTGAGGTATTTACAAGTTGTTCTAACATTTTTCGATAAATGATTTTATTTGTAATAAAGTCGACGTTCATCAATCATGTGAGTACTTTTTCATCTGTTTTTCTATAACCATTTATATAGTTTTCAAATATCATCGATTTGTTTTATATCCTTCCATGAAACTCTCAACTACGAATACATACGCCTCTTGACAATTGCTTATTTAATGAATCTAAATGGACAATAATGTTTGATGAAAAATTCTGAACTTATTAGGGAATCAAACAGTGCTGCCACCTTTTGAAGTCCAAAAAGCAGAAAATCATTTATAAAAAGCAGAAAATGACAGAAATTTTATCATAAAAAAGCGGAATAAAAAGACAGAAAGCATTTTCTGTGATATAAAGCTGTTTTAAAACTTTGTCCCAGTATACTAATTAAGTGCTTTCACATCAAATGTTGATCATTATTGTACAGAATCAAGAAAAACAATTAATTAACAAATAAACAGGATTATGCAACAAAGTTTCTTTTGAACGTATATTTTTCATCACATTTAATAGCATATGATGTCTTCGGAGAATATCCCCGGAAACTCAATTATGTCCTAGGGTAAGAGGTATAGAGATAGATAGGTATAGGAGGTATAGGAGATATAGGAGGTATAGGAGATATAGGAGATATAGGAGATATAGGAGGTATAGGAGATATAGGAGATATAGGAGATATAGGAGGTATAGGAGATATAGGAGGTATAGGAGGTATAGGAGATATAGGAGATATAGGAGATA